AGAGGAACAGAAGAACAGGAGCGAGGAGGGAGGTCAGGAGCTGAGGGGCGGAGGGAGGGGGGTGTGAGTGGGGCAGGGGAGGTGCCAGAGGGGGGCTGCTCCTAAGGACACCTCCTGGGAATTAGGGCACCTGTTCCCCTTGCCAGAGGGCACTGGGGAGGGATGGGGACTTGGAGAAGGGTGTCCGGCGGTCAGGGAAGCCACAGAGTGGGGGACCAGGAGCGTGGCCCTGGCCACCACGCCCTTTGTTGGGACCGTGCAGGGCGGAAGCCTGCCCCCAGAGAGCCCGCCTCTTCAGGGACACCTCCTCTGGCACGTCCCTCTCTTTGGCCATGCTGCCCAGCTCCGCCCAGCCCACCGGGCATCTGGAAAGGATACTGGACAAGACGTCACCCTCAGGAGGAGACGGCCTGGCTGGGCCCCAGTTAACAGTCATTCTCCAGCCGCAAGTCAGACCCAAGCACACTGGTCTCCACCAAGCCCGGTGGTCTTCACAAAGGTGTCTTCCCTCCCCGCTCCGTCCTCAGAGGCTGCGTCTCGAAGGGCTTCTCGGGAGACGGGCACCGAGAGACTCCCCGTCCTGCGAGAGGGGCGCTCCGTTCGCAGCTCTCATCTCTTTGCCGACAAGCCCCAGAGTGAATCAGCTGCCGTTAACGCTGTCAATGTGGACCAGAGTGATAGGAGCTGAATGCCCTGCAGAGGCAGAAAGAAACCGGGCCGAGCTTTAGTTCTTCCCCTGTGTATGTCACATGGCCGGGAAGTGCGCCAAGGCCTAAGGGCACAGCGATGACCCCAACGGACGGGCCCACTCCTCGGGGACATTCCTTTCACTGAGCCCAGCCCGGTGTCTGACCCCTGGTATACGGGCTGTTCAGTAGACATCGGGGGAGCTGGATGGCACTGGGCCCTTAATCCAAGACTCCCTTCCTTCTAGTGTTGCCTAGAGGTAGGTCAGGATGTCTCAGTCTCACCACTGTTGACATCTTGGGCCAGAGAGTTCTTTGTCGTGGGGGGGCTGTCCTGTATAGCACAGAATTTCAGCAGCACCCTTGGCCTCTGCTCACTAGAGGCCAGTAACACTTGCCTCCCCAGTCGTGATTGCCACAAACATCTCGGGACGTTGCCAGATGCCCCCTCCGCCAACCCCCCGCCAGGGGACAAGATCACCGTGGAGAAACACGGATGTAGGCTCAGTCTTTGGCCTCTGGAGAGCAGTGGACTTAACCACTTCTTCCTTCCAGGCACCAGAGAATTGGGAGTCTTTGTAAACACTCGAGAGGCAAGAAACCGAAAAATAATATACTTTTGTTGGGGGGAGGGAGGGATAGCAGCTTTATGGAAATGTAACTCACCTACCTTAAAATTCATCCTTAAATTTTTTAACAAATGTTTTATTTATTTATTTATTTATTTATTTATTTATTTA